AGGTGGGCATCGCGGTCTAACCCCCCCCCCCTCCTGCCCCCTACCCGCTGCTGCAGCCTTCCAGAAGCTCTGGCTGCTGTCTCCCTGCAGGGAACAGAGAGGGCGCCCTTGCCTTACTGGTAGGCTCCCTCAGCCCTGCAAACCTCCACACCCCTCCCTCCCTCGCTGGCCACAGGGCTCACTCACTCACCCCTGGCCAGAGGGTCCCCTGAGGGTGGGTGGGTGCCCCCCCACAGGTGGTCTGTGAAATAAGTTAATATTGGAAAGGAAACCATGTGCTGTGGTGAAAAACAAGTACAGGGAAATCAGGCTGCCACTTTTTTTCTAGAACTGAAAAAAGGAAAAAAGATCTGCAAAATCCTAAGAGTGAGGAATTTCTGAGGACTCCAAATCCACTCTACCACTCGAACCAGCAAACTCCGCCCTGGAGGGCAGTGGGTTTTATGGCCACAGCTTCACAGATTCATTATGCCGCCCTTATATTTATTATGAAAATCTATAACTGATTTGTTATAAATACTGAAGAAATTACAAGAGTTAAGAAGCCAATTCCCTTTTTGCTCCTTGTGCTACTGCTCTTCAAGGCCCTAAAAATGGGGCCTGTGGACTCGGATGTGGAGACCTTGGCGGGAAAGGGCTTCTCTTCCAACTGGAGGAAGGGATCTGGTGAGATTCCCTCAGGTTAGCAGTGCAGTCGTTGACTCGCGTCCACAGACGGTTACATCTGGCGAGATCCAGGCATGGGGTCTTGTCCGGGCGGCTGGATTCAGAGGTGCGCAGAGGGAATCTGCCTGCCAGGGCCTCCCGGCATGACCAGCAGGGACTGGGCTTGGAGCAGCGTGCGGGGAAGCGTTAAGAGACGCGCACGGTCCTTAACCATTCCCAGGGGTCACCTCTAAGCCCCTGTGATGTCCTGCCCGACAAGAGCGTCTCTGTTTATCCGGGGCTCTGGGCCCTGACAGCTGTCAGGCAGGCAACGTGATTCACGGGGGCCGCGGGGCCCACTGCCTCGGTTTGACCCGCAGAGGGGCTGAAGCCTGAGAATTGAGGTCGGCCACGCACAAAATCCTTGGACCCAAGGCTCTGGGTGAGCTTCCCCGTCTGGCAGTGCTCCACCTGTGTGGCCACGCGTCCCTGCTGTGAGAATTCAGGGCCGTCCGCACAAGCTCCCCGGAACGGGCCCTTGGAAGCTTGTGCGCCGTCTGTCCTGGGCTCACCCCTCGAGGCTTTGCTGGTTACGGCCCGTATCCTGCTGCCGTCGTAAACCCCAGTATCTCAGCATTTCCGAGTGCTCTGAGTCTTTCTAGCAAACCACGGAAACCGAGGGGGATTTGAGGACCCCAACAATACTTCGGGGGCTGCTATTCGCAGACGGGGCTTGAGGATGAGGGCAACAGAGGGGATTCAGCACGGAACACGTTCCTGCGTCGCGTTCCTGGTCCCGCTGCTGCTGGGGGGCAGGGCCAGGCTCCAGGGAAGGGGGGCGACGGAGGGGATGTGCGGGGTCCCACTGTCCTCAAGAGCCATCCACGGGCTTCCTTTGTAGTGACGGTCATGCGCTCAGGAACTTCCTGGGTGGGGGTCTCTCATTTGCGGTGCTGACAGCAGGTGACCAGGTGGGTGGGGTGCAGTTTGTGGACTCAGAGGTTGGGGTGCACGGCTCTTGCTCCTCATCTTTGGAGGAAAAACTGGAGAGCAAGGTGGCCTCGTGCCCCCCTCACCTCCCCCTGCCTCACCTCCCCCCGCCTCACCTCTCCCCCCCGTCTCACCTCCCCCCACCCCACCTGGGCCCCATCTTACTTCCCCCACCTCACCTGACCCCACTTCCCCTGGGCCCCACCTCAGGTCACCACATAGGCCACCCGCTCGGCTGCTGGCCTGAGTCCTGCCCCCAAGATGTTAGGTCAGTTTCCTGGGGCCACTGTAACAAAATATCACAGACCGGGCGGCCTGGACGACAGACCTTCATTGTCTCATGGTTCTGGAGGCCTGAAGTCCACGGTCAAGGGGTCAGTGGGCTATTTCCTTCTAAGCCGCCTGGGGAGAATGCGTTCCAGGCTACTCCCCTAGTCTCTGAGGGTTCCCTGGCCATCTCTGGCACCCCTTGGCTTGTGGACACTTCACCCTGTCTGCCCGCACCTGCACATGGCCTTCTCCCTGTGTGTGCGAGTCTGTGTCCACATTTCCCCTTTTTATAAGGACACCCGTCAGATGAGGGGCCTCCCCTGCTCCAGGGTGACGTCCTATCAGCTAGTTACATCCACAACAGCTCTATTTCCAAATAAGGTCATGGTCCAAGGTACTGGTTAGAGCTTCAGTGGGAGATTTTGGGGGGGATTTGGGGGGGCAGGTTCAGGCCCGTAGCAGCTGCCCGTGTCCTCATCCCCCAAGCCTGTGACGTTGCCGTGTGCAGCAAGGGAGACTTTGCAGATGTCATCAGTTAAGGAGCTTAAAATGGGGAGACTGCCTGGGATGACGTGGGTGAGCCCTGACTATAATTACAAGTATCCTACGGGGTGGGGGGAGGTAGGGGGAGGTCTGACGACAGAGCAAGAGAAGCCAACGCAGTGATAGAAGCGGAGATCAGAGTGACGTGGCCACAGGCCAAGGAATGACAGCAGCCACGTGCAGCTGGAAGGGTCGAGGGGCAGGTGTGACCTCCGACCCCTCAGAAGGAGCCGGCCCTGCCTCAGCGCTAACCTGCGAACTGAGTTTGGACTTCCGGCCTGCAAAACCGTGTGGGGAAAGATCGGTGTCATTTTGAGCCACCACGTCTGTGACCATCTTTTACGGCAGCTGCGGGCTGACACGTCACCCCTCGGGCTTCCCGAGGTGGGAGGAAGGGCCCTGGGCCTGGCACTTGTGCCCTTAAGTCCTTTTGCTCGCGCTCTTGGTTCACAGGGAGACGCAGGGGCCTCCCCAAGGAGTGAGAGAAAGTGCTGACGTGCGCTTCCTTAAATTAGGTGAACGTGGCACCCTGTTGTGCAGGGCAGTGAGGCCAGAGCCCTGGGGACAAAAATCACTCACAGCTCCGAGCACCTAACTGGCCTGGCCTGCCGTCACAAGGAGGTCAACCCAGCACGCGTCCTCCTTTGGGAGGGCCGGGCTTCAGGCGGCTCTGAGGTGACGGAAGGGACACGGCCCAGCTCCTGCCTCACTTCCAGGCCTCCGGGCCTCACACACTCAGATGTCCCACGTGGTGACATCTGCGACCTCTCTCAGCACGCGCACGGGGACAGACACCAGAGGGGCTCGGAGGGGAGTGGGCCTCTGGCCGCCACTCACACCGTCTCAGGAGGCGGTCCTGGTGCCCCCCACGGTCTGGACGCGGGAATCACCCACGTGTCCAGAATAGCTGTTCAAGCCGAGGTCTTGGAAATGCTTTTGCGTGGTGACAGGGCGCATGCTACTGGTCAGCA